AGACCTGCAAAGGACCGATAGTTCTTTTCCGTCATATTGCTCTCTCTCTCTCTCTCTCTCTCTCTCTCTCTAAGATTTCTCAGCAGCTATGGATAGCATTCACCTCATCTTACTCCCTCTTCTTCTCTTCCTCTCACATTTTCCCCTGGTAATGAAACCAAATCCCGATGCCAAAGCCTTCTCTCTTGCTCTTCAAACCTAATTTCTTACAACCTTCTTATTTTCTTCTTCCTTTTTGTTTTACTGTGCAGGTTACAGAAGCTCAGAAGCCGGTAGCAATGGCGGACTCTCCATTCTCAGATGCTCTCAAAAACCTGCAGAAACAAATTGGGTAACCCCCAAACCCGAACCCCTCCTCCCCATGCTCTCTCTCTATTGTTCTTATTCACACTGTTCATTCTTTCTCACTCTAAGGCATGCCTTTCCCTCACCATCTTTCCCAATGATTCATTTTCTTACATTTGTGCATTTATCTTCACTTACTCTTCAATCTCCTGAGAAGCCCTTAATGCTTTTCTTCCATGGCCACCACTGTTTCAGGTACCAGTTCCAAGACCCCATCCTCCTACAACAAGCCATGACCCATGCTTCATTCTCCATTGAGAACAACAAGGCTCTGCACATCGCTGGTGTCAATTTGATCGAAACAGCCATCACGCTGAAGTATCTGAACCAGAACCGTGACATTGAGGCCAAAGACCTAGCCCTAAAACTCTTGGAGCTCACCACTGAGAAGGCGTGCAAAGAGAGCGGGGTTCGATTAGGATTACAGAAAGTGGTAAGAGTGGCTACTCGTACTGATACATCGACCGCCATTTGTGGAGCTTTTCGAGCTCTCTTTGGAGCAATTGCCCTTGATTCAGGTAAGGCTGATGCTGCGATTGATGTGTTTTCGAAGATCAGTGGAAGTGGGCTGGTTTTTTATCTTTGAGCGACAATGGTTGTGGTTTTGGAGACGGGAGGGTTTCGTTTTTAGGTTTTGTTTTTGGGGGTTTTGTGCTGGTTATGGTGCCATTAGAGAGAGTGATGGCTTTTTAGTAGTGGGATTTTTAGCGTCTTGGTGTGTGAATCTCTGATAAGAATGGTTTCATTAATGCTTGTAAAGGGTTCCAATACGGATTGCTTGGGTTCTACGCAGGTAATAGAATGATATAAGTGCCCTTTAGATTTGGATTCGAATTGCTGATCTGGATGGGAAATAATCGAGAGGAATTACTGATGGGATGTAAGGGGGGTAAACACGACGCGACCCGACCTGACTAAGCTTTACGTGCTTTACACAGACGCGGACTTTGGGTTGGGTCCAATTGACTTACCCATTGGACTTGGGTCCAGAAATAAAATTTTAAAAAATTAATTTATACACTATATAGTATAGGGTTTTGTTAGGCTGCACCACCTATAGATCGCGGGCACAATATTTTCAGACACTAAAATACCTTTGAATTGTAATATAAATTTTTTCAAATAGAAACATTTTTCTTTCATTTGGAACTGCAGAATGGACATTTTTATAAAAAACCTAGTGGTATTTTATTAGTAGTTAAAAACAATTAATGTTTTTTATGGATGATGTCGTACATTGTATTAGTGATGTCATTGTCCACTATTATTAGAAAATATTTTTGTTTTTATAAAAAAATTTAGTTTATTCTTAATTGATTATTTAAAATACCTTTAAATAAAAAATTATTATACTATAAAATAAGGGTATCTAAATATCTAAAAATGTTGAGCACTTTAAGGGTTTAGTGGTATAGCTTAATAAAGCTTTATGATATGTGTAAAACTATATATTATATATCGGGAACGAACTTGGGTTTAGTGGTATAGCTTAATAAAGCTTTATGATATGTGTAAAACTATATATTATATATCGGGAACGAACTTGTCAGGCCATGGGTTGCTCCAATATGATTGTGACTCCTACTAGGATATGTAAAACTATATATTATGTATCGAATCGGGAACAGGCCTGTCGGGCCATGGGTTGTTCCGATATGATTGACTCCTAATGGTATAGTACGGGTGGTGGCCTGGTCCCCCTTATAAATTACCCTTTTATAAGCTTTTTATTTATTTAATATTTAAGAATGAGGTTTCTATTACTTCACGTTTTATAAATTTTTTTTTTTTTTTATATAGGTAAAGTCACAATTTTATATATTTATCGGAACCCAAGGGGCAGCAGAACCTTGGTAATAGTTACAACGGAGCTACAAAAAAACACGAAACAATTACAAAACAAGCAACTAGGATTGAAAATTACACATCTCTTGCAACAATTAACAACAATTAAACTAGGGAAAATTTCATATATAATCTTAATTCTCCATCTTATTTCATGGTTGATCTTCTTTTCATTTTTTTTTAAGAACGGCATAAAAAAATCATTAAAAAATTCACTATACCCTTTCATCGTTTATCTCCTTAATATGTTCTTTTGACCATAAAAATTAGTTCCATTAAACTTTTTTATGCCATTTCAACACAATATGAGAAATAAGGAGCTCTCAACTTGACATTGAGGGGCTTGAAAAGACAAAAAATATAATAAAAAAATATTTTTGAAACGTTTTTTGGGTTAAAGATATTATAGGGTGGGTTAAAAAAATGTTTGAAACGGTTTTTAGATTGAAATGGTATAAAAATATTTGTTAGGGTTAATTTTTATGATTAAAAATAAATAAATGAAGAAAATAAGAGAAGATGGGGTATGATGAAATTTTTAGGGATTTTTTTATGCCGTTTGAAAGAAAAATAAAATGAGGGTCTACTATGAAATAAGATGGGGAATTAGGGTTTTGTACGAAATTTTCCCATTAAACTATTCTCTAATACACTTTTTTTAAAAAATCTTTCACCAATTTAAGCCCTTGAAGCAATGCTCAGAGTTCAACCTCTTTAGCCGTCATAGTCCCTACTGGTCCACAATACTTAAATAGGACTTTATCTTCCCAATTTTTAATTATGCCTCCTACACCAACTTGTATAAAATTTCCCAAAGCGCGACCATCAAAATTCAATTTAACCCATTTAAACCTAGAGCATTCCCATAAACTTATCCTCACCTTCCTTAACAACTTTACTTTTATTATCTCATTCAAATCATACAACATATCCATTCGAGAGATCCTTCTTTATTTATAACCAAATATTTTGCAACCAAAACTTTAATTTTTTCTATCAACTCTACCAATACAAGACTTTAGTTTTCAAAACATCGCCTATTTCTTTCCTTCCATATTTTCCAAACTACCATAGCCCTTATAGTTTTCCAAATAATCCTTCCTTTCTTACTGATTCTTGTAGTCAACCAGTCGCCAAGTAAATTATCAATCCCTCTTGGATCATTACTATTAAAACCCACCCAAACTAACCCCCAGTTCCACACCTCCACCACATAAGGACATTTAAGAAAAAGATTTTCAACTGATTCAACCTCTTTTTTGAATAAAATACAACCATTCACAATCATATGTCCTTTTTTCCTTAACATGTCAATAGTCAAAATTCTGCGTAATTTAACTAGCCATAAAGAAACATTAATCTTTAATAGAATATGCCAATTCCATAATTTCCCTGCATCTTTATCCTTCCATCTAATAGGTTCCATGCTATTCCATCTTGCCTCTCAGAGCAATAATAAACAGATTCCACATATTCATCAGCCACATTTTCATTTACTCTTTTATAAAAACAATTAATATTCCAATTTAACAAATAACCTCTACCTTCCACCAGCTCACTCACCATGCAACTTTTAGAATTTGTCTTGGTAAAAAGATTAGGAAATTAGTTTTTAGAGAAACATCCCCTAACCATTTATGCTGACCAAATTCCAATAGTATCTCCCTTTCCTACTATCTTTCTTGAATTACTTAGGAAGAAACTTATGTGAGCCAAAATGCTTTTCCAAATATATGATATACCCCTTGTATTTGCCCTTTTTTCCCACAAAACCAAGTTCTTTATCTTCACCATATTTTTCTCCTAAAATTCTTCTCCACATTTGATTTTTTTCATTAGCACACCTCCACCACCACTTAGTGAGGAAAGCACTATTCATAAATTTTCAAACTTTTAATCCCCATTCCCCATCATATATTGGGGTACATACTTTTGACCATTTCACCAAATTATACTTCCTTCTTCTCCTTATTTCCCCCCCCCCCATAGAAACAGTTTCATAATATCCTCTATTCTCTTAACAATCTTACTAGGCATGAAACTTGAAACTTTCTACAATGGAGATCTCCACGATGTCTCTTAATTCAGTTTCCAACATCGACAATGAAATATGAAACTAAAAATATAAGATAGATCTTGCAGATCAATGAATACTTATTTTTAAGGTGAAATGGACGGTCTAAATCATTTGTTACAATACTATTTTTAGAATTTATAATCCTAATATTTTTTTCACATCCATGACGTTCAAGTCAAGATGATAGATGTAAAGGTTTTCCAACATGTAAATTGTAATTTTCGATGAGCTATGAGATGAGGCTTCACTTGTTTTGATAGGGCCGCGACCCTATCAAACCATTTACCAATACTTAATGTTTTTTTACGGGGTAAGATTTGTATAACATTGTTATATTTAAGAGCCAGTTTGCATGTCAAATAAATAAATATTCACAACAAAAAAAATGCAAGTTTTTTCTTGCTCAATTGAAAAACATTCTAGTTTTATTTTATTGTGTCGGTGAACTGTTTGGATGTCTAATTTCATTGATTTCTAACAAAAAAACCCGCTATCCCTTCTCTTGAAGATTTTCCAAGACGGGAGACTGGTCCAGAGTTGGCCCTTTCCTCTACCCCTTCTCTCTCTCTCATCTTTCTCTATGAAATCAGCGGAAGCCTTAGCGCTTTCCTCCATCGCCAAGCTCTAGCCCTACTGAGACTGTGTCGCCATCGCCATCACCAAGCAAGGTTTGGATTTGAGGTCTCCATGGCCAAGCCAATCTCTACACCTTGCTTCTCTCTCTGTAGTCTCTCTTCCCCACTTTCTCTATCATAATCGCTTTCTTGCAACACACGCTTCACAAGGTTCCTCCTTTCTCACTCCTTACGGATCCATTCCCCATCTCCATTTTCTCTCTCCAAAACCCCTCATATAAACTCCAACTCACATCTATTCTGCTTATATAAACGGCATATCAACTCCTGTTCAAAGATATCGTTGCCCTATAAAATAGACACCGGAAACCCAATTTTCCAGCAGCCGGATTCTGTATTTTCCGATCATTTATACTTTGCAAAGAGACAACTTTTCCTCGGGAGCTACAAATTTTGTAGGAAGAAGGGGGTCTCTGAAAGAATAAAGTTGTAGATGGTTAGACTGAGGAAGTTCCTTTGAGTGTTTGAGTGATTTTCCAGTGAGGTTGCCCCAAAAATATGAGGGCTTTTGATATACCCTTTTATTTAGGAAAACAGGGAGCTTCAATGGATACAGTATCAACCGATTCAGAATCGTCACCTTCACCGTCAATTACTCCTACTCCTGATAACACACATGCTTTTGCATCCAGTGAAGATAGCAATGCGAAAGAAAACCCATCAAAGTTATCAGCGTCTGCTTTATCATCGTGGGCTAGATGTCTCAGGACAATGCAACCTGTGCTTGGAGATGAATCACAATCTAGTAATCATGGGAAGTTGACTATCAGTCGGTTTACGAGCGGTTTTGGACTGCGCACATCACCCAAAGCTTTTCCAGCAGATGAGGGTTCTGAGGGAACTTCAGCAACAACTTTAACAATGACACAATCTGGTGTTTTTGGAGAGCTTTTGAACTCCATGATGTGTTTCATTCCATTAGAAAGAGAGCATGGCTCTATGTTTGCAAAGCTTTTGAAAGAGAGAGAGAGCATAGCTTTGAGTTTTTTTCTCGCACATGAGAGAGAGCACAGAGAGACGAGGGAAAAACAAGGAGGAGCGCGAAGAGAGTGAGGGTTAGGGAGAGAGGCACGCGAAACGTGACTCAAGCCCAACAAAATTTAAATCGAGCTTGAATTTTTTTTATGGCAATTTTTGCCTTGAGCTGGGATTTTTTTTTTTTTTCAATCTAAAAATACGACAAAATTGCAGATGTCCGAATGGTGAAAATCAGTTTCACAATATTTTTAAATTGAAATCTAAAAATATTTCAATTTTGGTTACATCCAAACTGGCTT